CCAGATATTTTCCTTTTTTAAATATACTTCATTCACCCATTTTAACCATAAGCTGTCTTTCTTGCTAGCAATCCACCACACTTGTTTGAGAATAGCTGCTTCATTCCATAATGTGGCATCATGAATACTAAGTCCTCCCTCAGATTTACTACGACATACAGTTTCCCAGCCTACAAGGGCACAGTACCTCCCTGATTCTCTTACTCCCCAGAGGAACTCTCGACATTTACGATTAATGGCTTCAGTAACACTACGGGGAAGAATGAACACAGAGGACCAATACACATGCAAGTGCATAAGTACCGAATTGATCAACTGAAGCCTCCCAGCATACGAGAGGTGTCTGGTGCTCCAGCATTTCAACCGTTTAACCACTTTATCCACTACTGCCTGACAATCTGTTTGGTTCCATTTCCTAGGTGACAAGGGAACACCTAAATATTTCATTGGAAAGCCCCCCTCCTTAAATCCAACCAGATTACAAAGTTCCTGTTTCAGCATATTATCTACACCCCCCATATAGATCTCTGATTTCATTGGGTTCGCTTTCAAACCAGAAACCCTAGAAAATTCAGTAAGGGCTTTCTTGATGTATTTGACTGTCACCAGGTCAGCCTTACTGAATATCATCAGGTCATCAGCGAAACATATGTTGGACAGTCTCATATTTTTACACAAGGGATGAAATTGAAAACCAGGCAGATCAGCAACTTCTCTCAAAAGTCTAGTTAGATACTCCATCAGAATGACGAATAACAGCGGGGAGATTGGATCTCCCTGCCTTAACCCTCGTTTTCCAGAGAAAAATCCTACATTTGACCCATTCAAACTGAGAGAGAAGGTTGTTGAACTCACACATTCCATAATCCATTCAGTAAACCTCCTTGGGAAACCATACCCTTTTAGACATTCCTCTAGAAACCCCCATTCCACACAATCGTAGGCCTTCTTTAGGTCAATTTTCAACAAGCAACGGCTACTAATTCCTTTCCTTCTATAGAGTCTAATGAGTTCTTGAGTGATCAAAATATTGTGTAAAATTAGCCTACCCTCTACAAAAGCCCCCTGGTTACTATCCACTATTACAGGCAAAACTGATTTAAGTCTATTGCAAAGCACTTTAGAAATAACTTTCTATAGAACATTACAGCAAGCTATTGGCCGATATTGACCAGCATTACAAGCATTTTCAGTTTTCGGAATTAAGGCAAGTACAGTGGAGTTGAGTTGTTTCAGCAACTTACCAGTTTCGAAGAATTCCATCACTGCAGCTGAGATGTCTCCTCCAGTGATTGTCCAAGTGGCTTTGAAAAAATCACTGCCATATCCATCAGGGCCTGGGCTTTTGGTAGAATTAATACTCCACAACGCTTTCTTGACTTCTTCTCTAGTAACTGGCCTGATTAACTCCATTTGCTGCTCCAGTGACAGTCTAGGTCCTTTCAGAAAGACTTCCTGTCGAACTGAGCTTCGTGAAGTAGTCTGTCCCAGCTGCTGTTGAAAGAAATCCAAGAAGTGTTTCTCAATTGCCCCCCAGTCTCTCACAATGGTTCAGCTTACTCTTTGAAAACAATCATTTTAAGTAGCTTGTACTATTGAGCTTAAACCCCATGTTGTCATAGATCGGGTGAATGCCCTTTCCGTGGAGTAAGCCAAAGCGAGTGAGGGGGGGTCTAGTCGTATACCCCTATCGTCTTATTGTTCTATTCGTGGCAGTAGGCGAAGTCGTATTTGTTAGCTGCCATCTTGTTTAATGCCAAGATCGAGGAACTCTTCTGTGCCGAAGGGGACAACGATAGCAGCCCACGCCTGTGACAGAGCACACCATGTCGGTGGGAGATCCGGCAGTGACTTTATCCTTCGTCCGGAGGTACCGAAGATTCGATGCTGTCACCCTCAGAGCCCGCAGATGTCAAGGAAGAGCTTCCGCTTTGGGTAGGTCAACTATGCACGCTTCGCCACACCTTCGACAGACTTTTTACGACTTCAACCGATTTTAGGTATTCTGGAAAGGGTCTAAGTGTAATTGTTAACTCAACGATCCGCACCATGTGGTGCCAAATTTCTACCTTATAGTTACTACCTTTTGTGTACTAATTGCTCCCCTTTCCATCGGGTTTCTAAAGTTTATCCAGCCCGACATCGTGAATTCACATAGAGTAACCTACTTCGCTTCCATAGAAGACACCCTTCTTTCTCCTTGAGTAGATTCCGCGTTGGATGAATTCTATTTATAAAATATGCTAGGCCTTTTGTTTAAGCCAAACACGAAACTGAACGTCCCTACGGTTGCATAGGTTTTTTCTCTTCTATCTCCCATCTATCTAGTTTTCACTAAAGCAATTATGATCTGGAAGTCGAATCCTTTGTTTTGTTAATCTGTAGGTACTATTCGCCTAAGAAGGCGATTGGCAGAAGTGAAACAGCTCTCTCCTGAAAGGGGGTGAAGGAATTCCAGCTAGGATATTCCTCTCTGGTGCTAGTGTAGGGAAGAGGATAGGTTGCCTATGAGTCCGCAACCCCGCTAACCGGTCTTGAGAGTAAGTAAGTAATTCCATGCGTTGTAGTTGTAATATAGTTAGTACCGGCAACCCTGTAAGCAAGCGCATTTAGTAAGACATTTCTTGATCGCTTTAAGCATAATTGGATATAGAAAAAGGTTCATATTCCTGCCTGGTGCCTGGTTATCAAGCACCTTCGGTGAAAGAAAGGTGCCATAAATTCATTAATGGAAGAGAGACAGTCTCGTGACTGCTGACGAGGCTCGACCAACGGGAGAGAAACGAAAGCAGCTCGAAGCGTAGATCTATTCTTCCTATACCTAATTCTCTAGTCATAGATGTATTCTTTCGAATGCGCCTCAGTCTCAAGTGTTTGAGGAAGTGAGCGAAGTTCCCAATGTTAGAGGAATAATAGCTTTCGCCCTAAGGCTTCATGAGAGCCTGAAAACGGTTCTAGAGTTCTTTTTTTTTTCCATATAGACATAGCGTCGTAATACAATTTTATAGCCTTTCTGCCTTCTTCCTTCGTCAACTGCACTTGAACTGAAAGAGCTGGTACCCTCCAAGTTTGGTTCCTTCTTCGGATGTGACGGAAGGAGGCTGCTCTTCAAGCACATTAGGAGTTCCCTTGTGAACACTCTACTAAGTATGGATCGAGGTCGGACTCGGATTCTTCGTCGAGTGATCCCGCGCTTCATAACCTATTTCATACCATACCGCTGTCTAGACTGAATTTAGGCTTTACTCTTGTAAATCTTCCACTTCAGACCAAAACGAACCAACTTAGGATCGGTTCGATCGATCTTCCATTTTCGATTAACGACAGGTGCACTAAAAAAGTCTTCGATTTCGTAACCATTCTCTAAGAATTTGGTAAGCAGCGGAGGGTGCACAGGTATAAGAGTCCCCCCTAGCGCTTAGTCATATCAGGTGTTTGACCCCGTGTTCACATACGTAATTCCTTGGGTGTCCCAGCTTAAACTTTTGACTTGGTAAAGTATAAGGTTCTACCGAAGCAGGAAAGCTTTAGGGTTTTGCTAACCAGTGTGAAGTTGAGTTATATCTTTCTCTAGTTCATGTAAGGCTAACCTTCGGGTTTCTGCTTTCAGGCAAGTCGCTAAGTCGTCTTAATCCAGCGACGAAAACTCCTGCGCTAGGAGAAGCGCTCAATCCCGTCGCTTCGTCGCTCAGTCCGTTGCTTTTTCCTTTCCGGCCCTTTAGACCAATACCAATTCTAGGTGCATATTCCATTCGTGCATCTGCAGTTTCCTTTTCTTTCTACTTGCTGCTTTGTTCCAGAGCAGTCCTGACTATGATGTAGTATAGGGAATTCTAATAAAACAGAAAGAGGAGAAAGCGCCATAGTGAGAATGAGAACCGCTATGTAGCCAAGTCAAAGTACTAGAAATAGCACTATACAGATTGCTGACACTTCTTGTTACTTGACTAAATCACAACAAACAATAAATACTAGGAGTCACATGACATTTTTCTAACTAAAGCCAAGCTAAGCTAACGGGAGGGAAAGGCCCAGCAAGGCTAAAATCGAGCATATAAGAAGAAGTGCTTAAAACTAAGTAAATGGGCGACCACCTTCAACATGAATTACTTTCTGGAAGCAGGCTATGCCGCCACACCTCTCCTGTGAAAGAGGGCTACGCAGCTGATTCGGTTAATCCTAATATGATATGCAATTTCCATCTCTTCTATAATCGACACTATGAATATCGTAAGATAAGAAAGCTGCTAGCAGAGGGTGATCGTGGATTGGTCAAGTTCTGTGTACTGATTCTCATCGAGATTGGGTTGGTGTTCCGTTAACTATCCTAAGAGTGTAGTGTGGTGGTTGGGCCCTACCCATAGAGGAAGGAGTTGGTAGCAGACAAGTCATTCAGCAATGAAACTTCCATGGCGTAGATTGACCGTTCACGAATCTGTCTTGAAGAGCGAGATCATTATTGCATAGATAAGGTGCCTATCTTGACGCGGTACTTCCACAATGAGATCAGAAAAGCAAAGAAGGGGCTGTTGTTGATACTTGTTTGATTCGAAACTGGGTGGCTTTCGGGGGGGGAGCCGATGGGGCCTTGCCCGGCGAATCTTCGTCTTCCTTTTCAGTCGAAGGGGGGTGGGTGAAAGGAAGCTTTATGCGGTAGTAAAGCAACATCTTCGTAAGTACTGTGCTTCGCAAGCCGTAGCCCACCGGTTCCCAACGTTGAAAGATCTTTCGCCGGGTGAGTTGGACTTTTTCACGAAGCGCTTTTGTAGATCCGACTTTGACGTTGAATTCAATTCGGATGCGGAAATGGCTGACCTTGCCAAATTCATTGGGAATTATAATAGAGTGAAAACTCTATTAGATCTCTCATTTGAATTATATTTCCGTGGGAGTCGGTAATTCTCACTTCTATTCAATTAGCTGCGCTTCGTTCGCTCCTTTTCACAATTTTCTTCTGATCAATAGTAAGTAAGAGGAGGAAAAAAAGAAAGACCACCAACATAAAAATTAGATCTTTTGATCACCCATTTTTGGAAAACCGTTTTTTGGAGCTTCCGCCTTACACACGGAAGATTGGATTGCCTGAATCACGAGTCTTATATACTGTGTTACGATCACCTCATATTGATAAAAAGTCCAGAGAACAATTTGAAATGGAAATAAAGAAACAATTTTGGATCATAAAAACAGAAAGGCATGAATTGCGCAAGAAGTTATTTCGGTTAAAACGCCGTGCGACTCGGAGGACATAAGACTTCTTGGTCAAGCCAAAAAGATTGCCGACTGGATGCTCCTACCCCACCATGCCTGGCCCTTTACCTTACCTTAAGAAGAAAAAGAGGAGGTATGAAGCGTGGGAAAAAATGCAAGAAGTGTATACGATAGAAGAGCTTAAGGAGTGGCGGCAAATCTCTTAATTGATCAACGCGAGTGAACTGTGCTTAGACGCTTCGTAAAACCGCACCGATCTACGAGAGGAACTGATAGATGAGTAGGCTTCCCCTTTCGATCGCGAAATGTGATCTAGGACACGATGGGAGTTTGCGTGCCTCGGTAGGAAAGAGATCGCCGGAGTATAGCACAAGATCGCCCTTTCTTGCTGCCATGGGGTCGACCTGTGAACAAGGTAAACCCAATGGGAACCAAAAACGGGAGGTACCGCATTGGGCAGAAGACGATCCAAAAAGCGAAGGCTCGCCCAGCTGAAGGAAGGGGCTTTGGAAACTTACCTTATTATTAAAAGGGGAAAGGGACAACCCCTCTTACTAATAATAAGAAGGGGGTGAGATAGGCAAAAGGTAGCTTGCTTCCAAGCCGGCCCGACCGCGAGGAATCAAGATATTTTTGCCGGTGCTGACTTGGATCTCGGGTGACAGAATAAGGCGGCCAGAAGCGACGAGCAATTGCGGTCGAAGCTTGGCTACAGCGAAGCGCTTACCGAGCGCGAAGGAAAGGGCCTTCGCCACTTGAGCCGTATGCGGGGGAACTCGCACGTGCGGTTCTTAGTGGGGGGGAAAGCTAGTAGGAGCCATCCCACATCCCAATAGCGTATATTTGGAGCTCAATATGAAATCCTATTTTCTTGCAAGACCCGTTTGGATAAGGGAAAACTCCAGAGATTGCTTCGAAGTAAGATCCTTGCCTTGACCCTTTCCTGAACCAGAACCGGGGGAGGGTGATAGGAAAGGGGGATCATAATGTCCCATCAATAAAGTGAGGGCTTTCCATTCTTCCTTCCCTCCCCCCCCTCGCTCCCTTTTTTTCAAGAAATAAGCCCCGCTCCGCCCCCTAAGGGGGCCCCCCCTGATAAGGAAGGAAACGAAAGAATCTCAATTTTATGACAAATCCGGTCCGATGGCTGTTCTCCACTAACCACAAGGATATAGGGACTCTTTATTTCATCTTCGGTGCCATTGCTGGAGTGATGGGCACATGCTTCTCAGTACTAATTCGTATGGAATTAGCACGACCCGGCGATCAAATTCTTGGTGGGAATCATCAACTTTATAATGTTTTAATAACGGCTCACGCTTTTTTAATGATCTTTTTTATGGTTATGCCGGCGATGATAGGTGGATTTGGTAATTGGTTTGTTCCGATTCTGATAGGTGCGCCTGACATGGCATTTCCACGATTAAATAATATTTCATTCTGGTTGTTGCCACCAAGTCTCTTGCTCCTATTAAGCTCAGCCTTAGTAGAAGTGGGTAGCGGAACTGGGTGGACGGTCTATCCGCCCTTAAGTGGTATTACCAGCCATTCTGGAGGAGCGGTTGATTTAGCAATTTCTAGTCTTCATCTATCTGGTGTTTCATCCATTTTAGGTTCCATCAATTTTATAACAACCATCTTTAACATGCGTGGACCTGGAATGACTATGCATAGATCACCCCTATTTGTGTGGTCAGTTTTAGTGACAGCATTCTTATTGTTATTATCACTTCCGGTACTGGCAGGGGCAATTACCATGTTATTAACCGATCGAAACTTTAATACAACTTTTTCTGATCCCGCTGGAGGGGGAGACCCCATATTATACCAGCATCTCTTTCGGTTCTTCGGCCATCCAGAGGTGTATATTCTCATTCTGCCTGGATCCGGTATCATAAGTCATATCGTTTCGACTTTTTCTGGAAAACCGGTCTTCGGGTATCTAGGCATGGTTTATGCCATGATCAGTATAGGTGTTCTTGGATTTCTTGTTTGGGCTCATCATATGTTTACTGTGGGCTTAGACGTTGATACCCGTGCCTACTTCACCGCAGCTACCATGATCATAGCTGTCCCCACTGGAATAAAAATCTTTAGTTGG